CGACCGTTCACGGGCCCCGATTTCTGTGAACGGCCATTCACGGAAGCCGTTCACGCCTCTGGCGGCCACGTGGCCGCCCGGGCTGTCGGGGTCGGGGCGCGATCGAGGCCGTGCAAGGGCCAACTAAGACCCCATAGCTTCAAAACACAGAAAAAAAAAAAAAAAACAGGACGGGGGTGTGTGTCAAAAAAAGAAAAAAAACATTTTGGGTTTTTTTTCTTGGAAATGAATACATGTAGTCTTCCATGTTCTAGCGGTACATGCATTCGATTTTGCTCCCGTGACGTCAGCCACGAGGATGGAGACTTACCTGTTCTCTTCTCTCTCTCTCTCTCTCTCTCTCTCTCTCTCTCTCTCTCACACACACACACACACACACACACACACACACACACACACACACACCCCCGCCTCTCGCAGAACGAGGAGGGAGTTGTTTTTTGTTTTTTTTTCCTACGGTATTGCACGTCGCGGAAGATAGGAGGTTTTTTTTTTTTTTTTNCGTGACGTCAGCCACGAGGATGGAGACTTACCTGTGTTCTCTTCTCTCTCTCTCTCTCTCTCTCTCTCTCTCTCTCTCTCTCTCACACACACACACACACACACACACACACACACACACACACACAAACCCGCCTCTCGCAGAACGAGGAGGGAGTTGTTTTTTGTTTTTTTTTCCTACGGTATTGCACGTCGCGGAAGATAGGAGGTTTTTTTTTTTTTTTTCAAAAAATAAAATAAAATACATTCGGATCGAAAAAAAAAAAAAAAATAATATGGGCAGGTGTCCGTTGACACCAGCCACACGTCTGTGCTAAGAAACTATACCACTACCAGCCAAAAAAAAAAAAAAAAACCGAAGTTCCCGCTCAGTGTGAACGTCGTGAACTCTGACCAGTCACGTTTTCCGTTACCAGTGGCCGGCCCGCGTTCACCGACCCCGTGAACGGTGAACGGGGGTACGACACTGTTTCAGGCTGAAACGACACGGGGCCTGTAAGCCCTTGTTTCTAGGCTTTTAGGCTGAGACTGCGGGACAGGCCCTGCAGGCCCGTGTGGCTGCGCAGTATCCCCCCCCCCCCCTTCTTGAAACACCGAGCTTACCTATGAGGGCGAAGCTGTCTGTCTGGGGGAGGGACCACAGTCCAGGTGGGAGGGGCAGGTCATGAAGTTCCCTTAGCTAACCTTTGTCGCTCGTAGTGAGCGTAGATCAGCTGTGACAGACCTGCCGGGATGGCGGTCCGTCAGGATCAAGACGAAGGAATGAGGATGGGGGAGATGGAGATGGAGCTGGAAGGGACAGCGCAACTGCAACGCAGGCTCAACACGCACATACTCCAATCTGTGCAAATGAAGAATGAGTCAAAAACATACTACAATTGGGGTATACCCGCAGCGGACTGACTGACTGGACTGGCCTGGTACCGACAGTGGTACCGGGCAGGACTGGAACATCACACGGCCTGTGGGGTCAAGCCACGGCCTGGTCCCACAGGCCGAACTGGCAAATAGCCAAATAGGCCCTGGCTGTAGGCTAGGGCAAATGAAGGCCCGCTGCACGATCCTCAGACTTGTAATGGATCGCGAGAGCCATAAACACGCTATTCGCAAAAGCAGCGGAACTCTGCAATAAGGAAAGCTGAGAAATCTAGGATGCGGAACAAGCTCCATGGGGAGTCCATGCGATGCATCCTAAGCTACATAATGTCAAAAGAAAAGCAAATGTTTGGTATCCATATCCTAGCTAATAGCAAAAAGTGAAATGTAGCAATATACAATCCTAAAGTCTGGCAGGAAATCGCCTCAGTGCTGAAAGGAAAAAGAGCAATATGGCACAAGATAATGTCCTGTCGCTGAACCATTAAGGGTGGGATGGTCTCAGAGGGGGTGAATGCAGCCTAAGAATCGAAACTCCTAAGGGCAGTCACACATGAAGGTGGGATAGGTCATCAGGCTCAAGGTGGGAGAGTGGTAGCGAAATAAAAGGAAAGACCCTAACAGATAGACCATCAGGGCGGGTAATGCTCGATAAAAGGATGACACCATGCAGGGTCGACCATGAAAAAAAGGGGGAGCCTAGAATAGGGTGGTGATATGCAAGGGGCGGCATTAGGGTGATGAGGGCGGTGGGTGAGGGAAACATGCACACAACTCACCGACTGGGGGAGAAAGGAGCTAGACATGGGAGCAGGAAAGCCATGATAACGCTACGGTCCCAATGCCTATGCGATACCAAGGGAGAGCCCAACTCAAAGAGACCCTGCTAAGTGAGAACCATCATGCGACAGATGCAAAGGAATGTATAGGGTAGGGTGGTGGCGTGAAGTAGTCACGTCCAAAGTAGTTGAAGCCAATGAGGTGGCTGAAGTCGTCGAAGTGGTTGATGACGTCGATGAAGTAGCAGTCGAGTCGATGTCGAAGCAGAGCCGCAAAACACTAACATCCTGAAGAAGCTGATGATGGAGTACCTGATGGTGTGAGTCAGTAGGGGAAAGATAGACGATAAGAGTGTCAGTCATCGTAACGCGAAGGGCGACGATGAGTGCGTTGTGGACGCTCGGAGGTGACCGTTTGCGGCTGAGGAACGGCCTCAGAGGGAGCGGGCGCGTCCTCAGCCATCTCCTCAGCCGGAGGAGGAGGAAGAGGGTCAGTCGGCTGAGTAGAAGCAGGGTAGCTCTTCCAACGCACAAGGTACTCGATGCGTGGAGGGGTATCGTCGGTAACTCGGCGTGATACGATGTCGGAAACAACAAACTCCTCGTGACCGTCCACCATGATAGGTGGAGGGCGCTAATAAGGGCATCCTGCGAAGCGCTCGGACGGTCTGCGATAAGGACGCAACAAGGAGACGTGGTAAACATCGTGTACGCGAGCCTGTCGAAGGTAATAAGGTAGCTTCACACGGAAGCTGACTAGACTAGCGACAGTATCAAAACCGACGGCCTGAAGGATGCGGCATGGACCGAAGAAACGACGCCTGAACTTGCGAAGCGTATCTGCTTCAAGCTGTAAGTGGCGTGCGTCGACGAGCACATCGTCACCGACTTTGAATAAATGATCTAATCGTAATTGGTTCGCTCCTGCGGCCATGCGAGTCTGAGAATCGGCTAAACTCTCGTGTGCTCGCTTCATAATCGCCGCCATGTGGGCGATCCAGTCGTCAAGCGCAGGGCAACGAGTGTCTGGACGCAACCGCGATGGTCGTAGGAAATCCGCGGGTACGCGAGGGTGGTAGCCGACGTCGCAATAGAATGGTGACATCCCCGTGGCTGGCGAAACAGCGTGGTTGTACGCAATCTCCGCGTGGGCTAAGTGTAAGTCCCACTGCTGGTCATCCCTAACAAACTTTCGGAGGATATTACCGAAAGTTTTGTTGGTGACCTCAGTCTGACCATCCGTGTGAGGGTGGTAGGACGATGAGAAGCGGAGCTGGGATCCGTACACCTCGTGTAGGCGTCGCCAGAATGTGCTAGTAAAGCGCGGGTCACGGTCGGAGATGATGCTCTGAGGTAAGCCGTGATCTCACACGACTCGGTCGAAGACGATGTTGACGACCTCACGAGCGCTAATGCGATAGCAACACGGAACAAAACGTGCACGCTTCGTGAAGCGATCGACGACAACCAAGATAGCATCATGACCACGCTGAGTGGGTGGGCGGAGGGGACCAATGAAATCCATCGAGATGGACTGCCAACGACCCTCGGGTATGGGTAAGGGCTGAAGTAACCCATACGGAAGGTGGTTCGCACTGTTCACCTCCTGGCAGGTAAGACACTCTTGGATGTAGGCTTTGACGAAGTTCTTGGACTTCGGCCAGACGTATAGACGGTAAAGACGAGCCAACGTCTTGTGGAAGCCCATATGACCGGCAACTGCCTGGTAATGGAACTCTGCTACAGCCTGGACGTGAAGATGTCCAGTGGAGGGAGCGCAAATACGTGGTTCTAGCTGACCAGATCTGCCATGCCACTACACAAGGCCGTTCTCCCCGAGGGAGTGGGAAGGAACGGTCTTGCCACTCCGCAGTGTCGCGTGGATGACGCGATAATCGGGGCTGTGGCGGTATTGAGTGCGATACGCGTCGATCACCGACTGATCAACAGTGGTGATGAAGATGGCAGCAAGATGGGTGGGTTCCTGATTGTGATCAAGACGGCGGGACAAGGCATTGGTGACGCGATTCGTTTCACCCTTGATGGGCTGAGTGGTGAAACTGAACTCGGATAAGTCACGCCACCAGCGTGCCTGTCGAGGGGAAAGCTTAGGTTTCGTGAGGAAAGCCTGGATAACTGAGTTGTCCGTGCGCACCGTGAAGGGCGCACCGTGCACATAATGACGCCAATGCCGGGTAGCATAAACTACTGCGAGAACCTCACGTTCATCGGCAGTGTAGTTTATCTCGGCAGGCAGTAGCTGACGGGAGTAGAAAGCGATCGGGCAATCCCCAACACGAGCCTCGTCAGTCCCATCCTCCGCGATGGTCGGGGAGTAAGTAACAGGAGGACTGTCAGTGGAGGGAAGTGGTGGGAGGGTAGGCATCAGTCGCGAAGCAGTGTCAGCAGGAAGGGGGGGGGAAGGAGGAACATGGGGGTAAAGTGAATTTGGAAGAGAGGGAAACACCTCAGAAAGGACAGCTCCTACTGCAAAATCTGACGCATCGGTGGTGACGATAAAGAGACGATAAATATTGGGAAGGCGAAGAACTGGCGCACTGGTTACCGCCTTCTTGAGGGCGCGAAAAGCGTCCTCGCACAGGGGTGTCCAAAACCACGGCGGGTTCTTTCGGAGGAGGGKAGAGGTAAGGACGTAGGAATACCTAGCGTATCCCTGGATAAAATTACTATAGTAGCTGGTGAGGCCTGGGAAACTGCGAAGCTGCTTGACAGGTGTGGGGACGGGCCACTCTGCAATAGCAGTGATCTTCGCGTCGTCCATGTGGAGACCATGGTCAGACATATGGTGTCCTAGGAAGTCCACTTTGTGCTGGGCAAAGCGGCACTTACTAAGCTTGGCATAAAAGCCATGCTTGCGTAAGCGTTGTAGGACATCGCGGAGGTGTCTGAGATGGTCTTCTAAGGTACGACTTTAGACCAGGATGTCGTCCAGGTATACGAGAACGTATTCTTCAAGGATGTCCCTGAAGATGTCGTTCATCCCCGTCTGGAAGGTGGCGGGTGCATTGGTGAGGCCGAATGGCATCACCGTGAACTCGTGGTGGCCGAAGCGCGATCGGAAGACGGTCTTCGACTGATCCTCTGTGGCAACGCGGATCTGGTGGTAACCGCTACGAAGATCGATCTTCGTGAAGAAGTGGTTGCCTGCCAGACGGTCAAACAACTCATCCGCGCAGGGCATGGGATAACTGTTCTTAACCGTGTAACGATTAAGACCGCGGTAGTCGATGTAGAGGCGGAAAGTTTCATCCGCTTTGCGAGCAAAGAGGACAGGTGCACCCGAAGGGGAGTTACTGGGTTTAATGAAACCCAGTCGAAGGAGCTCCTCAAGCTGACGCTTGAGTTCCGTCGCCTCTGGGTTCAAGAGTCGGTACAGTGCCTGATGGTGAACACGATAGTCAGGCACGAGCTGGATACAATGCTCAACACCGCGCATCGGGGGAATCCCGCTGTATGAGAAATACTGGGGAAAGACGTCGTGATACTCTAGAATCAGGTCGCGAACGACCGACTCTAAGTCTGTCGTGAACCGTGTGAGTTCCTTAGCGTCTGCGTCGGCACGAGACGTATGTGTGGACTCAACAGTCGACGGCGCAGAGGCCTGGGACGTGGAGGGGGTATCCGCAGGCTGACGGGTGGACGTAGAGATGGGAGCCGCGAAGATGGGAGGAGGGTCAGGGGGATCGGGCTCCAGAGAGATGAGCTCAACCTCGGGACAGAGTGGATCATAGCGAAGAAGATCCATGACGTTCACTGAGTAGAACGTGACGTCCTCCTGTCGTATGAAGTGAGCGAACTCACGAGGGGAAGTGAACACGATGTCGAGGTGGGACCCTGAGGGACGAGGGTCCTGGGGAGGTAGGTCGGGCGGGGTGTCGCCTGTGGTTCCAATGAACGGAACGCGATGAGTCTGACCACACTTCGTTTTGAGAACGAGTGTCTCGGTCGCCCATTCGGCCTCTGTGCCACAGAACGGGCGAGACCAGGGAGTGCCAAGTATAAAGTCGTACCCGGTCTCCAGCACGTCAAAGTATGCGGAGGAAAGGTAGCGCCTAGGCGTCTGGGTACTATTCGATGGCTGGAGGGTGAGAGAGAAGTGGAGGCCGGGGACCGTCTGATCGAAGAAACACTGCGTCTTATTATCTCCGAGGGTAACGGAGATAGGAGAGCAAGACCCAGAGGTAGCTAGGCGAGCTTCCTCAACCACTCGAGGGTGAACGAAATCTCCCTGCGAGCCCGAGTCCCATAGAGCGCGGTACACCCTCGTAGATGTCCCTAGGCGAATAGAGATGATGGGTAAGGTGCGATCAGGGTCAGAGGGCAGAGCGAGAGCGAGAAGACGATACAGGACGTTGATGTGTCTCGTGAGATGCTCCTGACGAGCCTGCAAAATGCTCAAGTCTAGGAGAGATGACGCAACGTCATCGCGAGTCACCAGCTGAGCGCAACAACAGGCTGTGCGAAATGGCACGACGCGTCGGAAGTCTCGGGGAAGAAGCGCTAGATGTGGCGGTCTGCTGGGAGGCAGACGATATCTCGACAGACGACAGGGCAGAGAGAACTACGTCTGTCATGTCCTGAGGATCCTCTGGTGGGGTAGCCAAAGAGGCAAACCGCGACTCGGTGGTCGGGAAGCCGGCTACATGCGAGGCCTCAAGGGTACAGTACACCGTGGTTAGCTGGGTGGGGCTGGCCGGGCGGTGCCGGGGGGAGACTAAGATCCGTGCTGATGAGAAATGTCAGCGTAGTACCGATCGAGGGCGGTGTGGTATGGACACCGTGAGGAGGTGTGTCCATCCTGGCGGCAACGAAGGCAGCCGCGTCGGGCCTCGAGGGCGGCACGCTCCTCTGGGAATAGAGCTCCGCGAGGAGGGACAAAACCCTGCGGGAGGTCTATCTGAGGAACTATGGGTGTGCGGGCGCCAGCCTGTGCAACCCGACCGCGTGCACGACCCATGGCAGACATGACCATCTGCAGGCGCTCGGCCATTGGGACAGTGTCGTCATTCAAGTGGTACTGGATGATGTCCCGAAGCTCGATGTCCTCGGGGGCGTCCCCAATGGTAGGATCGAGCTCGGCTGAGGCGTCCTCTCCATACTCGAGAGAACTGTAGTGCCGAGAAAATGGCGCTCCAGGTCGAGCCGGGCAACGAAAACGACCAGCAAACGAGGAGCAGCCTCGGGTGGTACCCCGAGACTGGAGATGGCGGCTGGCCGCGAAGCGGATGGGGCGACGAAGAAGCCACTGCACATCCGCTGGTACTGACGCGCAGCCTCGTATGCCTGCTCCGCGGAAGAGAATGATCGCCTCCATAGCTCTAGGCGGTAGTCAGTCGGCTAGCTGACAAGGAACCGGTCGGTGAGTGTGCCCTCCGGTGGGAACGTCTCGTCACAAACAAGGCGAGCGTCCTGAAACACCCGGATGTGACGCTCCAGGTCGGCCGGTACAAAGGACCCGAACCATCTGGCCTGGGTGACGCGGTCTAAGGCGTCGGTGGCGTCATGACGAGCGACGAAACGGTCCTAAAGGAAGGCCACGAAGTCGGCAAGAGTGGGGACCTCACCCACACGGAGGCGCTGGTTATAATGATCCTCCCACGCAGTGGAAGGGCTACCTCGCAATTTGGTTGTGAGCACATCGCACCACAACTCCTGACGGGTGGTCGCCATAGAGAGCGTGCGCGTTGCTATCTGCAACCAGTGAGAGACACGGGATGTGCCATCATACTCGGGAATGTCCGTGGTGCGCACATGAGGATGTCCACTATGCTGATGGCGGGGGGAGAGAGATCGAGGCGAGTGCACTGCGGCAATGTAAGTCGAGTCCGCTGCAGGGGCAGAGGAGGGGGAAGGTTGTGGGCCGTGGCCGCTAGCGGATCGACCAACATACGAGCAGGCAACGGCCGCGTGCAGCTATCCCGGAATAGCCAGGTAGGAGGGAAGAGGTTGAGGAGCAGGTCGAGGGAAACGAGCCTGCATCACAGGAACCGAAAGGGTGGTAGAGGAAGAAGGGTGGGCAGCCTGTGATGGGTGAGGCCGTCTCAGAGCGAGAATCTCCGCCTGAGCCTGTGCAATGGTCGTGTGCAAAGTGGCCACTCGCAGGGTACGTGGGGTCGGAGGTGGAGGGGGCGGAGCGGGTCTCCCAGTGGGAGGAGGAATCCCAGCCTGGGCGATACCCTGCTGTGGGGGTGGGGGGACGAAGGCAGGAAGAAGAGGGCGGAGCCGTATTGCCGCGACCGGTGCGGGAAGCTGGGAAGCAACACTGGTGTGGGTCGATGCAACTGCTGGGCCAGAAGGCGGTACTTGTTCCGCAGCACCTACGACAGTAGTAGAGACGGTAGGGGCGGCCGTGGCCGGAAGAACTGCCGCAACAGACGGGATGGTCTGAGCGGCAGCAGCACTCGCCACCGTCGAGGGGGAGTGTTGGGCCTGGCCCGCAAAGGAGGGGGAACCATGGTGACTCCGTCTCCGGAGTCCTCGGGAGTCGGAATCGAAGCCGGTAGGGGAAGGGGTGTGAGACCGGTGGGGAGAGCGATTAGGGGAGCCCTTGAGGCGGTTAACGTCGAGGGCTAGCGCATTGATTTGCGCTTGCAACGGTCCAAGCGTACTAAGTTGTGCCTGGATTGCTATAAGGACGGCATGAAGGTCCATGGTGTCCACATGGGCCTGATCATGAGCCGCTGACGGCGCGCTGACCTGGGGTGTGGACTCCGTCGCGGCGATCTCCTCCGATGAACTCTCTTCCATGGCCGGAAGGGGAATGGAGGTACTCCTCAGAGGAGTGTGTGGGGAAAGGAGCCCACCGGTACGAGGAAGGGGACCGCGGGAGCGGAGTGAGTATGTGTGATTCGGCTCGCCTTGGATTTTGCGGGTCGCGCGTGAGACGAAGGCGCCGAACCGCTCGAGGGGGGAGGATACGTCTGGGTCCAGGGTGCCCGATAGGAGAAGGCGGGAGAGTAGGAAGGGGGGGGGGGTAGGAGAACCCTAAACCCTAGAAAACCCTAAGAAAACCCTAATCGGTGTTTAGGTGGTTAGGGAAGTGTAGCGGCGACCTAATCAAGAAAAAAAATAATATGGAGAGGAGGGGGAGAGAAAATAGAATAAACAATGGATTTTCGAGATAAAAGAAAAGAAAAAAAATAAAAAAATAAAGAAATAAAATGTAAAGAGCGAGGAAAGAGAACTTATTTATTTTTTTTGAAAATTTCGGCAGCATTTTCTTACCCCAACGGGGTCAAAATGTGCAAAGAGAAAGGAGAGACTAGGAGAAGCACACTAATTTTTACAATGCCGCAAATTAAAATTTTCAGAAAAATAAATAAATGAATAAATAAATAGATGAATAAACAAGGATGTGGAGGAGAATGAAGAGAAATTAACTAATTTTAGGATTTATACAAAAAAAAAAAATAAAAAAAAATTGGCAGCATTTCGTCGCCCCCATGTGGTCAAAATGTGTTGAAAAAGGCTAAGTATGAAGAAAACAGAGAATTTCGGCAGCACTTCGTTATCCCCACGGGGTCAAAATGTGTGCCGAAAGCAAGGATGGCTAAGTCCTAATCAGATTTTAGGGTGCCGCAGAAAAATTCGAATTTTCAGAAAAAATAATAAAATATATATATATATATAAGAAAAATGAGAAAAAAAGTAGGAAAGAAGATAATTCGAATTTTAGGAATAAAGGGAAGATTTAAATCAAAAGAAAAGAAAAGAAAAGAAGAAAAAACAGAAAATTTCGAAGTTGGGTGGGAGGGGGTTGGAAAGGTGATGAAGAAGGAGAGAAATAAGTGAGAAGAGAAAAAAAAAGGAAAGTGGGAGATGGGGGGGATGATGGGGTTGTAGTTGGGGGAAGAAAGGAGGAGAGGAGGGTGAGAGAATGAGAGAGAAAACTATGGAAAAGGTGAAGAAAAGAGTGAGAGATTAGTAAAAGAAGGTGAGTGGAGAGAGAGGAGAGAAAAAGATGGTGGGAGATGAGTGAAGAGGGAAGGGTATGAGAGATTAAGGGGAAGGAGAGGAGAGAAGTAGGGAAAATAAGCAAGGAGAGTGAGGTTGAGAGGGGAGAGAGTAAAAATATTGTAGTGGATGGAGAAAGAGTGAAGGGGATGAGAGATTTGTGGGGAGAAGAGGAGAAAATTGAGAAAAGTGGAGAGAGGAGTGAGAAAAGGTGATGGGTGAGTGGTGGTGAGGAAAAAGAAGGTCAGATGATGAAGGGGAAAGAGGGAAAAGGGAATGGGAGAGTAGATTAGGGCTGAGAGAGGTGATACCCAGCTCTTGGGTAACCAAAAGCATACAACTTCACCAAGATCCACAAGATCTTGGCCTTCACACACCCCTTGGGAGAAGGGGTCTTCAAGGTGGTGATGAACTGCTGCTGCACATTATCTGGGGTTGGTTGAAATCTTGATCAGCCACCCAGTTCCACTATAGTGCAGCCCCCTAGCTAGGGGGATCTTCAAAAAAATCCTCAGCAAACTGCCACGTGACACTTTTGGAGATGGCCACGGATCAAGGGAGGAGATGTAGAGGGCAAAAACTCTTTTGCCAATAAGTTTTCATCCGCTGGGTCAAATTTGGCAAAAGAGGTCTTGTTGGAAAGCTTTTTGAAAGCCGCTTCTAACGAGATAAGGCGCAGCATCAGCCACTGCTTAGAGTAATAGCGCTCGTTGAAAAAACGAGCGCGGGTTGTTTTTTTTTTGCTTTTGAAAAAATTGCGATCTTTGAAAGATCGTGGCTCCTCAACCACTGAACAGAATTAGGCGATCTATAGCTTGTTGGAAGCGGCTCAGTGAGAGTTTTCCAACAAATTAAAGATTAATAAATGTGGACTAACAGTGCAGAAGTTACGATCGAAAGAGTGCACCGGTATCATTACAAAAGAAAAGTGGCGAGCATTTTTTTTTTTTTTTTTTTT